TAAAACAATAAACAACTTTTTAGAACAATATAAAACTGATTTAAAACATTGTGTTTTAAAATACTTGCCATCCTTACATTTTTATTAACATACTGCGCAAAATTTTAATTCGAATAATAATATCTTAAACAATCATAATCTCGTGCTTGATTCGTATCTATAGATAAATTTCCAGATATTATGGTCAAACCAGGGGCAAGAAACTGTTAACCGATGATTTTTACTCCTTAGGTAGAACTGTGGCGCGAATTAAGCCACATTGTCTGTTTCTGGTATAATTAATCTGAACTTTCACGATATTTTCACAGTCTTTGATGCTCCGTTCTAAATTGTCTCGCAAATCATCACTCTCCTTTCCCCATATGTACTGTAAATTTAACCCCACATTTTATATCTTTTTAATTAAATTTTTTTTTCCTTCCCTGTTTCTCTCTATCCTCTCCTCAATATATTTCTACATGTCTCCAATTTTTGGCAATTCTTCCTCAAAATATCTTTCACCCATTGTAGGACTTTTTTCCATGCCTTCGAAACAGACTCAACCTTCTGTTTCTTCATCGGAGTCTCTAACTGGAAAATTTATAAATACCGATTGCATCTACGCGAAAATACTAGTGAATTTAACACAAGGTTGGTGTTAAACTTTTAAGTATAACTCAAGATTTCGTTCTTACGATTAAAATAGTTAACCCACTCTTGATACACATATATATTCTTTATTTAACTCATTCATCTTATTTTATTTCATATTTATTTTATTTTTTTTTTATTTTATTTTATTTTATTTTTTTTGTTTAGAATTCGGAGACGAACTTCTTGGATTATTTGCTTATGGTTCCAGAATTTATGGAAACGCTTGTCCCCACAGGTGAGATCGACATTTTAAGTTATTTGTAATAAACATTGAGATCTACTTATATCGGTATAGTTTTTTAAAAATTATTATAATAAATAAAAAATCAAAAAAAAAAATATTTTGGAAATTTCCTTTGAAATCCTATTTCGGTTAGGTTAATTTTTTAGACAAATAAAAAATCAAAAATATCGTACTACACTCTTATTTTTATTAATTCATTATAATGATACGTAAATGGTTATTTTTAGTGATGTTGATGTTGACGTTCTTATCAAAAGTGAAAGAAAATGTAGAAGAAATATTTTAATTGATGGATTAGAGGTAAAATATCATATCTTTTATAATTAAAAAAAGACATTTGATATTGATTTGAAAATTTCTTTATTTTTTTATTATTATTATTTTTTTTTTTTAAAAAAAAAAAAAAAAGGTTGAAATGTTCATTCATCCGCCAATTCACGTATACCATCTGCTTACAAGTGATCCGAATGGAATTCATTTACGTTGTTACACATTTGGTCGCGTCATTTATGATCCAAACAATTTATTCCCACAATTACAACGTATAGCCAAACTTCGTTGGGAAAATGGTCCACCAGTATTAGAAGCTAAAGATTATTGGAGACCACGATATGAAATTGCAGATTTATTACGTGATTTGGAAGATTGTGATTTTGTAAATGATGAAGCTACTGCTCATTTTTTATTGGTTAAATTAGTCGAAAGATTAGTAAGAATACAAGGTTGTACTACAACTTATTCTCTTGTCAATGTAAATTATTATTTTCATAACTCTAATATATTTTATTGTTCTTTAAAAAAAGAACGTTTATATCAACGTTGGCCTGAAAAGTTGAAACGTTGTTGCCAAACTTGGGAATCATGGGATGCTGTTGGAGGACGACTTGCTAAACATGCCTTAAATTCCAATGTTAAATGGATCGAACGAATAAGATGTTCTAAGGAATTGGCAAAATATGTGTTAGCACCTATTGGTGGTGTTATGCCAATAGAATGGACGATGGATTGGGAAGAAATACCTGATGTTGATTTGCCCTATGATCCATTAATATTGCCTAAAATAGAGGTATTTATAACTCAATGAAACAGTAACAACAAGGAGTAGTGTACAATAAATGTATGTAATATACGGCAATTTGTTTATTCAAGCGCGTTTGATCACAATAAGCCCATACCGCTTTCCCAGTTCCATTAGTTCCATTCGAGGAATTTCCTCAAGGGATTTCTGGGTTTTTTTTTTTTTTTTTTTTCTCCTCGTTTTTTTTTCTTTTGATTTATCTGGTTTTTTTTTCTCGTTTATCCAAAATATAGACTTAATAATTTTATATTTTAATTAATATGCGGTATATATTTACTACTTTTTTTTTCCTTTTCCCATTTTTATATATAAAATTCGTTTGAATTTTTTTGTTTTTTATCCTTTGTTTTAGAATGCTATTCAAGCATTCAGTTAATATAGGTATTATCTAAATCGTGTTTAACTCAAATAGTTTTAAATAACCTAAAACACGATTTATAATTATTATAGAATATATTTTTAGAATGTTGGAATTATTAATAATATCAATGTGTATATACAAATGAAATTGAAAAACAAGGCTGTGCCTCAAATAATAAATTTGAATTTTTCCTTTTTGTTTTTTTTTTTTTTTTTTTTATCCCTTTTAAATATTTAATTAAAAAATTAGATTTTTCTTGTCATGTATGACTCACTTTGAATTTATCTAATAAATATAGAGAAATATTTAAACAAATTTACTTGCAAGATTTTATATAAATTTTTTTTTATCTACTTGAATCTCAAATAAATTTTGTCCTAATATTTATTCATTGTTAACTCGTGTAAAACAACGAAATTAAATTCGTAAAAAAACTTTTTACAATTGTCTCCCTCGCAATTTCGTGCAAACAGCATGATCGCCTAGTATATTAATTATAAACTGATTAATCAATAGAGCAGATCCTATTTACATCTGTGCGTGTAATTTGTGCGTTACCAGCTTAAAAAATTTCGTTAAAAAAATTTTCGCTTTAGGTCACTATCAGGTTTGTTTTCAAGTAAGGTTAGAAAGAGATTCAGTAACAGCAAAATTCGTAAGGAAAAAATTTTGAAAGGTAGTTTCATAAGTTAAATGATGAGTTATGACCGATTTTTTGAATTGTTTTGATTTTTTTTTTGCGTTACATCGGAACTTGAAATTTGATTGGTCAGCGAAATTTTTTAGGGTCGCGTAATATCTCGCGTAAAAATTTTACCTAGTAATCACTGAATTTATCAAACGCAGTTTTTAACGAAACAATTTCGTAATATCATTCTATGTTTCCTAAATTGCTAACGTTGAAATTATAAACTTTAATAAAAAGAAATTTTAATTTTTAATATATAAAACTCGCAAAATTTTAGATAGTTTTAACTATTTTAGATCAAAAATTCTATTATAAAAAACAATACAAAATCGTGTAACAGTGTTTTTCAATATAAATTTTGGTTTGTTGTATAACTCTCTCATACGTTCTTGATCTTAATATAAAGACTCTCATCTTAAATGCAAGGTCCAGTGGAAGACATCAAAAAAAACAACCGTTTCATCATATTTTGAGAGAAACCCTATGAAGTAGATTTCTTTTACAAAACGGCTGCGGACAAATGTCAACTAATGGTAACCGATAAAAAAGCTTCATAACTTAAGGAAAACACGACATTTCAGTAGTTAATTTGACTTCCTCGACTATGCAAGCATTCTGTTTAATCACGTTGACGGTACGGTCAGCTTTTAGCAATGTGGTGATTTCAATTGCAAATTGCAAATTATAAAGCCTATGCTATTCAACCTTTTACTTGTAAATGTTCCAATGAAAGCAAAAAGGCCTTATATTGTTTTTCTAATTTCTTGATGGAGACTAGTTAAATTATTTTATTGTAAAAATAAGTTAAGTGGACTATTACGAGCAACTCAGGTGAACTAAAATTACGCGAGCATGTTAAATCTCGGTGTGTTGGAGAAGCTAGAGAACCATATCGTATTCTTATCAAAATTAACAAGGTAATATTATTAAAACATAAAAACACGCTTCAAAATTATTAAAATTAATTTCAATTTTATATAGTTGATTGACACTTGAAGAAAACTTTTTTCATCCGAATTCATCCCGACGTTACATTCAGTAGATTATAAACAGCTTCAAGGAAAACTACTTAGATTATTCTGTGCGTGAATTATTCAAATCAGCATACCTTAAAGAAAAGATCATCGACACCGCAATAGTGAAAGAAAACTTTGGAATTACGAATTTAAGCCAATGATTGTTTATAGAGTATTGTAGATGAATTTGATGAAAAGGTAAGCATGCCATTAAAGAGTACTAGTAAGTAAAAAGATGATTTGCGTATTGTCTTTCGAGTACATTAACTTGTAAGTATATAGAACGATAGCACCAGCATCAACCATAATGGAAGCACTAGACCGTCTTGAAGAGCTAATTTATCATTTATTAAAGTCTAGTAATATGTGTGTTAATAGAACTAGGTGAGAATTTATTATTCACTGAATATTTGCTTATTGTTATGCATCTGAAGTTACGCTGCTCCTAGAATAATTATATTTTATTAATTTTTAATAGATGATGTCCATATGGTAGCCCTCTCGGCCTATGTTTCTTCAGCTACGACAAGTTTCTTCAATTCCGAGTCATTTATTGCAAGATTGTAATCTAATCCCCTTTGAATATAAGAATTTTTGGTTTCTAATTCACTACCGCGATGCAATTAGATTATTGGTTTGTAAAAAAATGCTGAACAAAATACCGACAAAAAACTCTCAATTAAAAGGTGCGATTTTGTTTCTTTATTTTACAATGGTTGCTTGCTGTGCTGATTGTGAGAATTACTGGGTCTAACAACTGTTATTAATGTTTGAAGATGAAAAACTGATATTTAAAGTTTATACTATGATTTGCCGTACAAAAATACACTATTACAAAAAGTTATATGATTAGAAGAAAGAAAATTTAAAACATATATTTCTTCATTCAAGCATGCATTCAAACACATTGAATATATATTTGAGCTGGTAACGTTTAACTGATATGTTTCATCTTTATATAGACTGGAATTTTACTTTTCTCATTATATTTATTTCCGAATTTATTAGGTCAAGGAGAATTATAGTGTTTTGCAACAATCGAAGTATCTGGCGGACCAATTGAGCAGGACTGTTCTCATACACTGAAACTAGAAAGGACTACAGAAATATCTTGAGTAAGCTAAAAAAAATGGAAATTTTATATGATGCAAGTAATCGGTATGTTTCAATACCTTTGAAAAGTTATAAGGATTTATTTACCGTGCTACTAACATAGTCTACTTTTTTATAGTTGACCGTATTGAAAACAAAAAACCAACATACAAATAACGCGACGTAAGGCTCTCAAGACAATCAGCTAGCTATTCCTTGTGTATTTACCGATCCCTGCCACGTTTGCTATTATTATGGACATGGTTTCAAGATGTGTCCAAACATAAAGACACCAATTAATTGTTTGATCGAAATTTCAACGCATATAGAAAGAAATGAAAATAAAGCAAAAATCACAACATTGAATGAGACTTATTATCTGCGGAGGAATAGCACATGGACCAGTGCAAAAAAACCAACCAGGTATTATTAATTCTCGAATCAAAGCCGGTAAGTACGAAGTGCATAGTGGCCATTTTCATAAAATTCGGTAGTAGAATATATCATACATTGAGCTCATTGCATACTTTATTGTAGATACCTATAAGTGCCCACAATAATAGTGATATAACAAAATATTTTATGCCAACCTCAATTTCTACGCAAATTCCAATTTCGACACCAGTTTTATGGCAAATCTTCCAACCTCAGTTCCTACGTCAATCTTGCCAACCTCAGTTTCTACGTCAATCTTGCCAACCTAAGTTATTTGCTTAGGAAAATTTTCAATATATCACAGTTTATCGGTGGCAAAAAGTATACAAGATGCTTTTGATATATAAATACTGTTCAAAACGAACTGAACTAACGTTCACAATTTTTAGCCATAGTATAGTATCTTTTTATGGTAATAGATACGTATAATTAGCGATATTAGCATTACCGTTACACGGTTAGAAAATTTAGAAAGAGATAATTATTCTTTTACATATTAAAAATATTAGAGGATATATATGTTATATTTTTGTTAATATTCTTTAGATTTTAATTTTATTGTCCAGGAAAGCTAAGAACACTCAAATGTTCAATTTCAACTTGCATTTTCTGTTTACCGCCATTATATATTTGTACAATACAAAATTTTTTTTTTTACATACATGATTTGTTGTGCGGTGTTTATTAAAAAATATAAACTATATCAATAGAAATTCTAAGAATTTTTTGTGATATAATTGGCTAGAACTGAGGGGAGTGAAGTGAAAACCTTTCAAGTCTTTACGAAATTTTCGAAATGTTTGGTTTCCGGTTCAACTGATCTTGATTTAAGTTCAGCATCTGGAAATTGACCAAAATTAGAAAATGCCACCTTTATACAAGCTGCCTAAACTACAGGTCTTTAAAATCCAAATTCCATGTCAAATCCAAAACCGGATATGCCCCATTTGAGCTTCATAATTACAAACTCTGGCCAAATCCAAATCCAAAATCATGATTAGGTTCAGAAAGGGTTTATCTGGGTTATGTGAAGTAAACAAACTTTGGCAAGAATACATTTATTTTATGTACCGGTACGTAGGCTATGTACGTACGTACGTAACAAATTTGGTGAAATACCGAGTTTTTGAGTTGACCCCCGTTAATATCAACCTCGTTAATATCAACCTCCCGTTAATATCAACCTCTTATTAAGACAAAATAGACTC